AAATTCATTTAGAGAGGGTATTTATTTATTTTGAGACAGGTTCTCCCTGTAACCATGGCTGGCCTAGAACTCAACATATAGGCCATAATAGATCAGCCTGCCTTTGCCTCCAAGTGCCGGGATCACAAGCCTGTCTCATCTAGAGAATGGTTTTTTGTTTGTTTGGTTGGTTGTTTTTTGTTTTTTTTGAAACTTAAGTCAACAACTCAAACAACAATTTTAAAAATTAAGCATTCTAACGCAGTACAACACAGAAGCATGCCAATCTGAAGTTGACATGCTAAGGGATGATGCGAGGGAAACACTAAAAGCCTTTGCTTTCCATAGTTAAGCCAATGCACTTGCATCAATCAGAAAGTGAAAACACTACAATACAGATTGTGCAGTCTCCAACTAGAGCCGAGGTATCTCAGGCAGCACTTTCTGGTGCTGTGTGGTGTGGTGGCATGTGACACAGGTGTCACAAAGTGCACACGCTTTGTGTTTAGAAAGCAGACTGCAGTGAGGCTGCAGGATCAGTAGTGCCAGAACACTTTGGACTCACTATGTGTTTTATCTTGATTACTCTTGGCCATCTTGTGTCCCGGAAACCTTTGCCTACTGCCAAAATTTTCACAGCCCTCACACTCAGTTACATGTGGGGTCACAACCCACAGTTTAAGAAGCCAGTGTGTGACTATGAGGGTGCATACCTGTGACTCCAGCACTTGGGAGGTGGAGATGGAGGCGCACGAAACTCAGTTACAGAGAGTGAGCTGGAGGCTAGCCTGGGCTATATATAGCCTGTCTCACAATACACAACGTAACAAAACAACAAAGATGAATCTGGGTAATAGCATGTTTGCCGTATGGTTTTAATGAGGCTGAGATGAGATCATACTCAAGAGACACTTAGCTCATTGCCCAATGTTGTAAATGGTCCAAACATGTCAGGTGCTACAACTGTCCTTATTTGACCAAAAGCTCTTGCCCATCTTTGTGTCTGCAGCTCCCAGCCCCTAGCTGGAACCATACCAAACATTCAGCAAATGTTGTATCAGTGCCTGTTGAGAACAGTGAGTTATGGACAAGTCCTATGAAACTGATGCCCCAGTAATTACCTCATTATTATTGATACTTTCTGCACATCAGAAAAATACATTTATTTCTGGATTATGTAATGCTTTGTAAATTGGCAGCCTGGGGTCCTATTCCTACTAATCTGGCCAGAAAGAATAGGGAATGTTCTCTATACAAGCCCTGTCTGCTGTGTTCCTTGACTTAGGAAATAGTTTTGACAAATGCCACCTTGTGGATCCTTGAATGAACTCTGTGTGAATTGATGTTGCCTGGGTTGAGAAAACTGAGAGGTTGGATAACTTCCTTTGAACACAGGCATGGAGATCTTGTCCTGACCACCAAGGCTTATCACTAACCGTGTGATGTCTGCAAAACCAAGGACCTGTGCCAAATGAAAAACAAGGGCTGCAGATGACTTCAAATCATACGTTCAGCCTTAAGATTTTCATGCAGAAAGCAGGCTGCACTTCTAAACATGTCCACCAGAGGGCCAACACAGTCTGCAGCTCCTCAACTAGGGTCCCGGTGATGGGTGGAGAAGGGACTGTGGCTTGTTGGATGGATTTCCCCCCCTTCTCTCTGTGGGACGACTTCCTTGCCTGAACAGCTAGTTCTAGGATGCTGCTGTGTTCCTGCAGTTCGGGGCCAGGTCTCTTCTCCCTGAGTGAGCTCTTGTGTTACTGTGGCCTGCTCCCTCTTGGGGTAGTCGAATCAAAGATGCCATCAACTGTAAGCCATACATTTATTCTAGGTGATTCTGAGGAAGGAAGAATGGCATAATACACAAGTCAGTCACACCCACTTTGCTTTAAAATTTTTTATCCTCTTGTACATAAAGCAATGGAATATTACCCAATGTAAGAGATAAATCGTCTGGTCCATTTCCGGTATGAGGTTCACAGAGTCCCAGACAACAAGGAGGCGCTCAGCCCAGATCTCATTCAGCTGGTGGCCGACTACTACTTGTTTCAGAATTGTGAGAGTTGGGGGAATTGCAGACAGTCTCCAGCATGACTAAGCTACATTTAGAAAAGGGGGCGGTCTCAAGCCCCCAGAACATTCATTAGACATCCTGAACCAATAGGATGGGGAGTTTGGGAAGGGGCCAGGCTAGAAGAATAAGGACATTGTGACTCTCTCTACAGTTACCAACTGGCCTATAGGGAAGAGTGCAGAAATTGAGATCAGGGAAAATAATTTATACCAAGTAAGGTCACTCAGGCTTCTAAAGGACACCACCACATGTTTTCTCTCAAACATGGATCCTAGCTTCACATCTTTTGTATTTAGCCTGAAGTACATGTGGAAGCCAGAAAACTAGAAGTGGTCCAAGGGGGCCGTGTCACTCAGGGAGGCTAGGCGGGGCGGTGGAATATGTGCAAACTGAGTAGGGAGGGGTACACTAGAGGCAGAAATGTTTGGGCAGGTAGTGAAGTGGTGGGGATGGGAAACAAGGGGCAGGCCAAGGGCTAACCAAATGAATTGTAAAAGCTATTTGGAAACTTATAATCTTGTAACCCAAGTGAAAAATTTAATAAAAGGGGCTAGTAGAATACATGTGGTGTGAAAGAACAGAGGAAAATACTGGGCTGGGGTGGGGGTAAAGGTTTAAATGGGGATGGAAGAAAGGGGGATAAGGGATAGGTTTTTTTTTTTTTTTTACTAAAACTAAAGATGAATGAAGACGCCTCATGAAAACCACTAAGTTAATTCAAACTACGTTTAAAACAGTGAGTTTGACTGACGGTGGTGAGGCTCTGTTGCTGGAGACAGCACTTACACACCCCATTGTACGTGGAGAAGTCAAGTCAGTGCCTAACCAGAGCCTCCGCCCCTCCTGACCAGTGTTCACTGTGTTGGAAGGAACTCTGCATGCTACCAGAGGAGAAAAGTGAACACCCACCCAACTACAAACCCAGCCACCCACAGCAGTGACTCGCCTGTGTGATATGCTAGTGCAAGAGCAGCACAAACACTGTGGGGGGCACCAACCGTTCTCTGGTTGGGTTTAAGGCCCATGTCTTAAGATGGAACCCGTGCCTGACACTCACTGTTCAGGTGGTCAAGAATCCGAGCCTGGACAGGCCATGGGCTTAGGGGGAAACCAGATGCTGCTAAAGGAACATGACAATGAAATTACTCCTAAAAACATTCTGCCACAGATCAGTGATTCTCTCAGACATCATCAGAGAAGCTGCTTCTTACTAATTGAGGTCCACACTGGACAATGTGCGGAGAGTAAGAGACTTGGCAATTAAATGGGATTTCTTCATCCAGCCCCTCCCCTCAGAGCTCAGGGAGCTGTGAGAACCAGGAGGCAGAAAGATTTTTAGAGCCAGAGGGGATGGATGACCCCAAGGAAACAGTCCTCCAGACACAGCAGGACTGACATACATGTGAACTCAGAGACTGTGCAGCGTGCACAGGACCTACACAGGCTTAAGTGGGATGGGGTCCCAGCCCTGAGAGGGGGAAGTGGACATGAGCTCCTGTCCCTAACAAAGAAGCTATCTCCAATCAACATTCACTGGGGAAGGAATTTTACTTTTTTCCCCAGTAGATTCTCAATGGATTGATTAACAACACTTTAGGGCAGGCTTCATGCCCAGCAGTAGTTGGCCAACACAAAGTGAATCCAATAGTATTTTTGTGGACCTTTGTCTCATATTACTTTGGGCATTTTTTGTTTACTGGTCTTTTGCTTGTATATCATGGTTTCCGATTTTGTGGATTTATTTGTTTATTTGTTTTGTGTGTGTGTCTCTCTGTGTGTTTTGTACTTTCCCCCCTTCTTTCCTTCCTTCCTTTATCCCTTTTTTAAAAAAAATCTGGTTTCTTTGCCTGTATTTTTTCTTTTTTTTTTTTTTTGCCTGTATTTTTTCTAAAGATATGTAGAAAGAAGGAGTGAAGTTGAGGGGGTGGAGAGGTGGGAGGATCTGGGAGGAGTTGAGGGAGGGGAAACCATGACCAGAATATATTGTATGAAAAGTAGTTTATTTTCTATAAATTAAAGAAGTTTGAGCAGAGGTACCCCACATAGGTGAGTGATTCTTCCCCTAGAAGACATGGGTTACTAAATGAAAATCACAGTGCTAGGCACAGGTTACTACCCCAAGAGGTAACAGGTTGAGGGGCCCCAGAGACACTCTGAATAGTACAGACTTATGACTTAGAGAGGCCTTTTTCGGATGTCCAAGACTTCAGTCCTGGTATTGAGAGCAGAATTGTATGCTTCTTGAGCAAAGAAACAAGATACATCTGGATCAATACATCAATATAGAGACTGGTCTGGTCCAGAAATGAGAGCAGACAATGTGGGAGACCATGGTTACAGTTTCCAGAGGCAAAGGGTTCTTTCGTCCCCAACCTGATGGTCAGCTCTCCCAACAGCTCAGGGAAGAAACATTTTTTTTCAGCTTCTGTTGGGTACCAGTCACAAGACTGGGAAATGTCCCTGTGACCTAGACTTCATTCCCTCCTGAAAACTGCTGTGCAGGGAAGGAAGGTGATAAGCCAAAGGTGCAAGAGTGTAGAGTATTTACCAGAGCAGTACAGGTACAAAAAGATCGAATAAGATACTCTTCAGCAGAGACGGAGATGCAGTGGGCTAATTGCCCTCCAGAAGGGCAAGCTTAATTCTTTTATAGTAGTTATGGGGCATTATTTTGTTTTGGACCACATGCCAGTTGTGTGGAATCCAGTTCTAAACAGGTAATTGGGCATCTCCCTATCTTGTTACACAGTAAATTTTACAGCATTAGATGCCTTTCTTGAGATTGGCCATTTGGGACAAGCCACTATGGTACCAGGAGTCAGCCTTTAAACATTTGTATAAAACATCACCAGGCATGGGCCAGGCTCCAAGTCTGTAGTCAGGTTCTGATTGTTAAAGTAGAGGACTTTTTGCTTCTCTTTTTGTCTCTGCATGTCTTTTCTGTAACATCAGCAGGGTCAAATCACTAACAACGGACTTTATTTTTCTTTGGGATCTTATTCAGAGCTGAGTGGGGGGTCTTGAAGGGCCCTGGCTAGATTGCTGATCTCTCATAGGGTCCTAGGACTGTAAAGCATAAAGGATTTGGTTGATATTTTGAAGAGTTTATGGAGTAGTTACTGTATAAGTTGGAGTCCAGAGACATTACTTGCAGGTTAAGAGGTCCTTAGGCACCAAAGGAACATGAATACAGATGTTGATGGTAATGGTTAGTATCCCTGAGATGAAACCATGTGGAGCTTAATGACCTGTGTTCTGGAAGATACCCATCATTCCAGAAGAGTAAGTAAGCAGTCTTTAAAAAAGGAGAATTATACCAGAAAGCAGACTCAGGTATATTAACCAGGAAAACCAGTCCCACATACCCTTCTATGGAGCCATTCCCCCAGACTGTCTCCTTCAGATCAGTACCCATACCTGCCATAATGCCTAGTCTCACTAAGAGGGGCGTCAGCTGGACAGCTCTCTTGGGTTGAGGGATTCTTAGAAGAGGTACAATGAAAGGGTGTTTATTAGGAGTAGTTTGGATACTAGTTATGAATGGTGTAGGCACAGAAACAACAGGCACAGGATGGTACAGGTGTCGGCACCATTAGTTGAAAGACAAGGATGGATGGCAGAGAGGTGGCTCCATAGGTAAAAGTGCTTGTCACATAAACCACAAGTCTGATGACCTGAGTTTGATCACAAGGACTGACACAAAAGCAAGATGCAGTGGTTTTTTTTTTATCTGTGATTCCAGAATCTCTATGGTGAGATGGGAGGCAGAGACAAGATAATCAGTCAGAAGCTTGCTCATGCAAGGTAGCAGGACAAATCTCTCTCACCTGCCAGTCCCACAGCCGCTCAGACCCGACCAAGAAAACACAGAGACTTATATTGGTTACAAACTGTATGGCCGTGGCAGGCTTCTTGCTAACTGTTCTTACAGCTTAAATTAATCCATTTCTATTAATCTATACCTTGCCAAGTGGCTCGTGGCTTACCGGCATCTTCACATGCTGTTTGTCATCGTGGTGGCTGGCAGTGTCTCTCTGACTCAGCCTTCCACTTCCCAGAATTCTCCTCCTTGTCCCGCCTACACTTCCTGCCTAGCCAATGGCCAATCAGTGTTTTATTTATTGACCAATCAGAGCAACACATTTGCCATACAGAACATCCCACAGCAGCTAGGCAAGCCTGAACAAAAGTACGTGCCACCCTACCATACAGACAGACTCACAAACAAGACAAACAGAAAGAAGAAAGTGGGGGTCCCAGCATTTACCTGCTGAAGGGACTGAATTTACACAACGTAGAGGGGCCTACTCACCAAAATATAGCGCTCAAGGGTGCTGCTCAACTAGCACTGTACATGAGTAAAGGGAGACAAACAGACCCTGTTCAAGTATCAAACTTCCCGGGTTTCGGCACCAGATGTAGCAGGGTCCTTTGCTGTTGTTCCCTTTGGGGGAGGGGGCCAAGTAGGCACAGAGTCAAACCGCATAGACTCTGTGAGAATGTCCAAACAACAGGCTCAGTTTATCCAGGAAGAGGCAAGCCTTATATACCCTCCACCCCACCCTGGGGGGAGGTCTGATGAATATGCATCAGCTGGGGTGACATGGCTGCCTCTCATTGGTCCAGGTCATCTCCAGATTATGTTTCAGCTGCTGTTGCTAAGACCATTAGGCAGACCCAGGTTGGCTCTCAGAAAGTATCTTTTTCACTTGTTTGGGCCAGCTGGCCCTCAAGCCTGTTAGGGATGAGTCATCCCACACATGTAGGCTTCTTTCCAGAAATTTTCATTTACACATTTTTCTTCTTATCTAGTTTATTATCTCCCAAGGTCACTTGCAGGTGGAGGAGGTAGTAATAGGTAGTAGTCTAGGTGTTCTCTTTGTAGTCCAATTCCTCTATTTTATCTCCAAATCCTGAAGAAAGTTCATGATAAAAACCCGTTTAAACCATTTCTGTCCACCAATCCAGGTACACAGAGGGCACCAGAAAAAAAGCTTCAATCTGAAGAGGTTAATTATACCTGAAAGGACAAAAAGAATCAATAATTCCAGCACAGTTAATCAAAAGAGGGAAAACATGTATAACAAAATAACAAGAATTAGTAAGCAGTGTTCAATAATAACCATCAACATTAATGGTCTCAATTCCTGCAATAAAAAGACAAAGAGTACCAGATTAGAAAACAGGGATTAGAAAACAGGGTCCATCTTTTTGCTGCATCCAAGAAACCTCTCACCACCAAGGAAAGACATCATGAGGGTAAAATGATGGGAAAGGGTATTCCAAACAAATGGACCTAAGAAGCAAGGGAGTGTAGTTATTTTAATATCTGACAAAATAGACTTCAAACCACAATTAATCTTATTAATTTTAAGATTAAATTTGGTTAATAGGGAAAGACACTGCATACTCATAAAGAAAAAAGTCTATAAATGGATAATTCTAAATATTTATGTAACAAACACAAGGGCACTGAATTTCAAAAAAGAAACACTACAGCTGAAATCACATACTGACTCTTACACAGTGTTAGTTGGTGACTTCAGTACCCCACTGGTGAGCCAGCAGACAGAGCATCCAAACAAAAACTAAACAGAGAAACAGCTACAGAACATTACACCCAAACACTAAAGAAAACACATTATTCTTTTTTTTTTTTTTTTTTTTTTTTTTTTTGGTTTTTCGAGACAGGGTTTCTCTGTGTAGCTTTGCGCCTTTCCTGGAACTCACTTGGTAGTCCAGGCTGGCCTCGAACTCACAGAGATCCGCCTGGCTCTGCCTCCCGAGTGCTGGGATTAAAGGCGTGCGCCACCACCGCCCGGCAAACACATTATTCTTAAGCGGCCCATTAAACTCTCCTGTGGTGCTTTGAAAAAAAATGGCCCCCATAGGGAGTGGCACTATTAGGAGGTACTGGAGTAGATATGGCCTTGTTGGAGAAAGTGTGCCACTGTGGGATTGGGCTTTGAGTTCTCCTATGCTGAAGCTATGCCCAGTGACACAGTTCACTTCCTGTTGCCTGCGGATCAAGATGTAGAACTCTCAGCTCCTTCTCCAGCACCATGTCTGCCTGCATGCCGCCATGTCCCAACATGATATAATGGACTAAATCTCTGAAACTATAAGCCAGCCCCAATGAAATGTTTTCCTTTAGAAGACTTACATGGTCATGGTGTCTCTTCACAGCAATAGAAATCCTAAGTAAGACATCTCCAAACCTGACCACATATTGAGACATAAAGCAAGTCTTTGAAATAATACCCTGCATCCTATCTGATCACTACGTCTTAAGGTGGACATCAAGAACAGTAATGATAGAAAGTACACAAACTCCATGAAGCAAAGCAACTCACCACTGAATGAAAACTGGGTCAAGACAGATATCAAAAAGGAAACTACAACCTTTTTAGAATTTAATGAAGATGAAATACAACTTGCCAAAACCTATGGGAAACACTAAGTGCCTACATAAAAAACTAGGGACATCTCATATTAATCAATTAATGATATACTTCAAAGCTCTAGAAAGACAAGAAGCGATAAGACCCAAAAAGAATAGGCAGAAAGAAATAATCAAACTCGGGGCTGAAGTCAGCTAAACAGAAACAACAACTGAAAAGGCAAAATACAGCCTCCAAGAAGTGAAGAGTTGGTTCTTGAGAAAATCAACAAGATTCACAAACTTGAAGGTAAATTAACCTAGACCTGCATATCAGGCAATAGAGTGAGAAGAGCCTAAATACCAACCGTATCATGAAACACAGCTCTGCGGTCAAGGCCTTATATAAAATAAACAGGCTTCATAATGAAGAAGGAAAGAAAAATATATGTTCTACATTTAGTATTTTTATTTTATTTTATAAACTTTATTATTAAAACTTGTAAAAAAAACATCACAAAATATGCATTATTTTAATATGAACAGATGTAGTCTAGCTGCTGCCTTGCACTGTTACAGTTTTATAATATCTGTGTGAGACAGAGACAGGAGTTTTACTGAGTTTTCCTCCTGCCTGTTTGAGCTGAATCCCCATTAGCTTATCTTGAAAAAGCAAACATTTACAAAGCTATCCTAAGAAATAGTTGCCAAGTTGTCTAGTTAAATTATAAAACACCATTGTTACTGAAGAAAAATGACCTAACAGCTACACATATCTGGGTCTGTAAATATGCTTAAGGTGCAATACAAACTTCCCTTCGGAGATCACAGAGCCTAGAGACCACTGTAGATGCTCACATAGACAGAGCCTAGAGACCACTGTAGATGCTCACATAGACAGAGCCTAGAGACCACTGTAGATGCTCACATAGACAGAGCCTAGAGACCACTGTAGATGCTCACATAGACAGAGCCTGGAGACCACTGTAGATGCTCACATAGACAGAGCCTAGAGACCACTGTAGATGCTCACATAGACAGAGCCTGGAGACCACTGTAGATGCTCACATAGACAGAGCCTGGAGACCACTGTAGATGCTCACATAGACAGAGCCTAGAGACCACTGTAGATGCTCACATAGACAGAGCCTAGAGACCACTGTAGATGCTCACATAGACAGAGCCTGGAGACCACTGTAGATGCTCACATAGACAGAGCCTAGAAACCACTGTAAATGCTCACATAGACAAAACCTTTAGACATTCATATACTTTTCACTTAACTATTGGCTGTTTAACGGTGTATTCTTCTTTAAATTATAGAGCACAACATTATTAAGCAGCGACATTAATCACGTAAAAACAGAACAAAATGTGTTAGGAAAAGTCATCCTCTCCCTGTGTCTTTGTATACAACCTAGCTCTGCCATATGAAGTCATTTTTTTTTCTTGTGTTTCTAGGGGGGCTCTTGCATATCATAGGAGAAAAGAGCATCCTTCACTTGGGAATTGTGATGTTGTGCTGCACCTGCTCCTCAGACACAGTTGGAGCTCGTGAACCTTTATCACTTGCTGGGTCGGCCTGGTGCTTCCTTAGACAGTAAAGTCCCTGGCAGCAATGTTGGGCTTATGCTTTGGCAGCCTGGAGAGCTTAGAAAAGAAGGTAAGTGAAACTGACCTCGCAGAAATAATCTCCCAAAGATTATCTTTTCAAAAAATGTATCCCTGTTTTAAAATTTAATAATTTTAATTTTTATTTCACCAATGGCCTGATATTTCACGATGTGGTGCTTTTAGGGAAACATTCTTATTATCAGCAGCTCAAGTGTTTTCCTTTGTTCCTAATGTCTTTATCCCTCAGCTCCCCTTCTGTTGTTTATGAATCAGGAGTTCTGGTAGTGTGTTGAAGCAGTAAGCCTGTCCGCACCCACTAATCCTCAGGATCAACTCTCAGCAAGGAAAAGACCTTGTGTGATCTTCAGAGAGATTAGACAGAGGAGGTTTAACCATAGTGTGAATGCAGTGCCCAGAGCAGCATGGAGAGGAGGGGAGGTGGTCTTGTGTCCTGGAACTCCACAGTTGTTCAGTGCAGGCAGTATGAAGAACCAGACCCCAGATACTCACCTTATACCGTGGTGTGGATAACAGAGGCGGAGATGAGGGCCTATCACCGTTTCTTAGGAAGCTGCATCAGCCTGGAATACAGGGCAAAAGAAGGTAATGGTGACTTTGCATTTGCTGTTATTTATCCTCTTTGCCAGTGGAGTACAGCTTACCTAAGAAGTTTTACATTAAAAGAATTATTTTATAATCATGTTTCTCGTTAAGGAGTTTAGAAAGGAGTTTTAAAGGAGTACCAATTAGCTATTATGATGCTGTAAATAGTCATTTATTGAGATAGGGTCACAATAAAAATAGGCAATCAGAACTGGGTTGTGAGGTTCAGGAGGGCTTAATTTCAAAGCCCAGACAAGTGTGTGTATCTATAAGTGTTTTATATCTACATGTGTTATAAATATCACCTACCAATGTGATAGATAATTGGTTCATCATAGGTAAAGGGGTGGTTATTTTAAAGTTTTTGTTCAGTTGTATTTTCTATTTAAAAAGGAACTGAATTGTATTGCTTTTATAAAATGAAATTAAGAATTAAGGAGGGTCTTCTCTCAGTGTGTCTGCTATGGACTTGGAAGCCAGCAATGCAAATACTCTTACCTGAAACACTTACTTGTTTCTTAGGCTGCTTCTACCATGGAGGGCCTTGCTGCTGGACCTTTGCTGTTCTCGTGGAGGGCCTCTCTGTGGGCCACTACTGTTCTCAATTAGATCCTTATTTACAGACATCTGCTGCTATAATTGAGGGTCTCACTTACAAATCTCTGCTGGTCCCAAGGAGGGACTCCATTATGGGCCTCTGCTGTTGCTGTGGGGGCTCACCGATGAGCATCTGCTGTTCCCATGGAGGACCTCAATTATGGTCCCCTACTGTTCACAAGAAGGGCCTCATTTATAGGCCCACGCTGTTTCTGTGGAGGCCTCATTATGGGACTCTGTTGTTCCTATGGAGGCCTCACGAATGGGCCTGTGCTGTGCCTATGGAGGCCTTACATATAGGACACTGCTGTTTCTGTGGAGGCCTCATTATGAGCCCCTTCTGTTCTTATGGAGGACTCACTTATGGTAATCTGCTGTTGCAGTAGAGGCCTCACTGATGGGCCTCTCTTGTTCCTATGGAGGCCTCAGTTATGGGACTGTAATGTTCCTAAGGAGGCTACATGTATTGGCCTCTGCTGTTCCTTATGAGATCTCACATAGGGGCCTGTGCTATTCCCAAGGAAGGCCACACTTATGGGTCTCTCATACTTCTATGGAGGGCCTCACTGATGGACCTTTGCTGCTCCTAAAGATGACCTCCCTTATGGGCTTCTGCTCTTCCCATATAGAGCCTCACTGTGTTAACCCCATTGGTTGAGTATAAAGCCATCATCACAGTTTCAAGATAGATTTGAAGCAAGCTTTTATTTTATAGTGCCCAGGAGGATATACTCTGCCCATGTCCATACCCAGTTCCTAGGAAATGCCCCCAAATCACATTTTACATCAGCTTAAAAAGGCCAAACCTACAGTTTACTACATTTCTCATCAGGTCCAATCAGGTAGAGGCATACATCCTACCCTATTTTGCCTGCATACTTCCTGCCTATATCCAATCAAGGGCATCCTGATACATTTCCTACCCACCTACGTCTAACTCACATGTGATCAAGCACATCGGTTGTGGATGGGTCAAACAACGTATTTAGGGGAGTGGATACATGTGGCTTATTATTTCTCATAAATAATAGCCTCTAGCATTTCAGGAACTATCTGTCCTTGGGCAAGGTGACTGCAGATCAGGGGCATTTTGGTTTCATGGATCTCTTAGGCATAGTAATTTAAACTTAAAATTTAACCCAGGCTTTCCTTCCTTCCACCTTGAGTTATACACTGTATCAAGTCCTAGACTCTGTGATAGGTACATGTATATATTAGGATCTAATAACCATAAGCTTAATGGTACCCAGACAGGACTTATCACTTAGTTAAAGCATTAGTGATATAAGAGCCAACAGAAATGAGCAGAAACAGAAGATCCAAAGGCCCTGTGATGGCTGACATCAGAGTTACTATCTAGAAGGAGCCTGGAAATGAGAATGGGGACCAATTATTTATTTCATTTCAGGTTTCCTTTTTTGCAGTGCTTTTGTTGAACATACCCAGATTATCTCTAATAATTCCTCAGTGGTTTATATAGAAACAACAATTTTCTCTTGAAGCCACACAATAACCTCTGTTTTACATAGAGCAGGTTGAGTACCCTATAATATTGTAGAAATGTTTCAGCTAATGAATTTACCTGTTGCTAGATCTGGGTCTATTTGGTTTTAATAGGTGCCTTTCCCAACATGCCAATAGGCACTGTAGGTAGTTATTTTGTCTCCTGTGCCAGGGAGTATTCTTTTGATCTAACATTCCAGCCTATTGGGGACAAGGGACGATGTATTCTCTTCTGTAACTCCTTCCTGCTGAAACTAGGACATTGTTGTCAGGGCCCAGGAAGGTTGGAATGCTAGTCAAATGGAGGAAGGAATTCAGGCAATGGAGCATTCATCAGAAGCATCTGGTTTGCTGATCCAGCTCAAGACAGGGAGCAATCACATTGGTTGGATTGATCCACAGCTGTTTGGAGCAGGTTGTAGTTAGCAGCTAATGCTTGGATGGTGTCTGTCAGCTGAGTGGAAATCTGCTGAGACAGATATAGAGTAGGGACAGAAGTTAAAATTCAGGAATATAAAGGAACATTTTTGTCTTAGGGTTTCTATTGCTGTGAAGAGAGACAGCATAACCATGGCAACTCGTATAAAGGAAAAACATTTAATGGAGGCAGCTTACATTTTCAGAGGTTTAGTCCATTATCATCATGGTGCAACATTGTAACAAACAGGCAGACTAGGTGCTGGAGAAGAAGCTGAGATTGGAGAAGGAGCTATGTCTTGATCTCACAGGCAACAGGAAGTGAATTGAGAAACTGGACATGGCTTGAACATATATGAGACCTTAGAGCCCACCTCCACAGTGACACAATTTCTCCAACAAGGACACACTTTCTAATAGTGCCATTCCCTTGGGTGCTGTGGGATGGTCTGTATGTCAAATTGTTGCTCTGATTAATCAATAAATAAAACACTGATTGGCCAGTAGCCAGGCAGGAAGTATAGGTGGGACTAACAGAGAGGAGAACTGAGAGAACAGGAAGGCAGAGGGAGTCACTGCCAGCCGCCGCCATGACAAGCAGCACGTGAAGATGCCGGTAAGCCACGAGCCATGTGGCAAGGTATAGATTTATAGAAATGGATTAATTTAAGATGTAAGAACTAGATAGATAGAAGCCTGAGCCATTAGGCCAAACAATTTAAATAATATAAGCGTCTGTGTGTTTATTTTATAAGTGGACTGTCAGACTGCCGGGACTTGGTGGGACCCAGAGAGAAAACTCTACAGCTACACTTGGGGGGCATTTATTTTCAAACCAGCAGTCTTACATTGGGAACTTTCAGGACCATAGTCCTAGTAGTTAAGGGAAGGGAGGAGTACCAACCCCAGAGAGAGAGAGAGAGAGAGAGAGAGAGAGAGAGAGAGAGAGAGAGAGAGAGATCCCATCCCCAGGACTAGAAAAGTCAGGAAATGTAGGCTGTATTTATCTGAATTCCTTTTGATCTGTAAGAAGTGGATCCAAGTCGTGTGACTCCCTTGATTCTCTGAAGGTTATATCAGCTTTTTTCTTTTCTTTTTTTTAGTTTACAAAAAGTCCCAAAGGTTTTAGATATATTAGCATTACCAATCTGAAATCCATATTGTAGAAAAGTCAGTAATAGGTGTCTACAAAACAACTAGAGTATAACTCACACCTTTGAGCCCTAGAAAAGCTGTAGATTGGCTTAAAAAGTATGAACATTTTTTCCTGCCTAGAGAGCCAAATATAGCTTGATGAGAAACACCTTAAGTCTGTACTTAGAAGACAATTAAAAGAAATTTAAAAACTTGAGCTTGTGCCTAAACACTAAGTAGATCCTGGTAAGCTCATGAGAATGCCGTTGATCAATGTTAAAACTCTGAACTTTTGAAATCCTAGTATAACAATAGGTTAAAAGGGAGAAACAGATCTGAACCATTTCCCATTTTTCTCATGCATTAAATCACTTTCTTACACCTTTACAACTTGTATTTACACATCTGAAATCATTTTCTTTCTTTTTTTTTTTTCCAGAGCTGAGGACTGAACCCAGGGCCTCGTGCTTGCTAGGCAAGCCCTCTGCCACTGAGCTAAATCCCCAACCCCTGAAATCATTTTATTAGGCCATCAGAACTTACTTAAGCTTTCACAACCTCAGACCTTTCTCTTAGAACACTTGGATCCTCAGAACTTACATAGACTCTCATATCCTCAGACCTTTATATACCTTAGAACATTTTCTTAGACCCTCAAAACTTGCATAGACTTTTAATCCTTTTTCTTTCCATCTAATCATTTACCAGAGACATAGTCATTGCAAATCATGTTCCTTTAGTGGAAAGTTACATCTGAAATATGTTTATCTTTTAATATGAAGCCTGTTAGCAAGGCAAACCTGTCTAGCCTTTCTCAACAGGAGACCTAGTAGTTCTAGAAAAATCAAGGCTTGATTTTTATATATGAAATCAGCTAACAAGGTGGCTGTAGCCTTGGAGAAGAACCTGGTTGCCTGCTGGGGCTAAGCTGACAAAGACATAGTCAGCTTAGCTGTCAATACCATCAGAGATCAAGGAGGATAAATGACAGTAGAAAGTATAATCCAAATGCCCTGTGTATCAATTAAAATGACAGAGACTAGTCCATTACCCAGATGGTCATATCAGGCTCCTGTGGTCTCGTTGGCATTGGGGGCAGAGGTACCAGGATAGCATCAGTCTTCAGCCACGAGACCCAATAGATGAGAGGCTTTCCTGTGGAGGAGAAACATGGTGGGGACTGACCTTACTTTGTCCAGGCAAAGTGGGGCGATGAACTCTCACTGTCCTGCTTGTACACAGTTTGGGCTGGGTTCTGGTGGCTGATGCAGCCTTGGGGCAGTCTTTCCCAGTGGTTAGCATTACCATGATCCAGGTGAAGTTTTCATGGTGCCCTGTCATCTTCTTTGGAGATTTTGGGGTCACTGGTAGGAGCTGTGGGTCTCTGTCATGCTAAGCTTTTTCCATTAAACATTTTAATACCATATTCATCAGATCTCTGACAAGTTTGAGGACCATTATCTATTAAGTATATCTGAGGTAAAAACCCTAGGCTTAACCTTATAAAACACATATAGGAGGCTAAATAAAGCTTTTTCCTATAATAATTACATTAGTGTTTGGCATGACTACAATTATAGTTCTGAACATATTAAAGAATTTGATCCTTTATGAGGTGACTATTTACTTGCATGTCTTAATCATCTTTCACAGTTTACAAGTTAGCCATAAATAATGACAATTTCTGAATTGAAGCTCTTTTAGTATCAAATAAAACTTTGAACTCATAAACACAGTCCACAGAGAGACTGGGAATGTTTCTGATCCTTTGATAGTACACTGTTACAGAATATAACAGTTTTTTTATATGATTCAGTTTATCAAAAATAGCTTAAGCTTAACAAAGTTAGGAAAGACAAGGAGGCTAGATGTACATTCTTAAGCATGAATAGACCCTGGGTAAGGAGTGACATTCTCTAAGCCAGTGGTTCTCAAACTACCCAGTGTTGTGATCCCTTCCTCCCCCAACCACAAAATCATTCCTGTTGTAATTTTACAACAACACTTTTGCCACTGTTAGGAAATGCAATGCAAACATCTAGCAGGCAGGTGGTCCTAGGATACCCCTGTAAAAAGGTCTTTCTATGCCCAGAGGATCATAACCCATTGGGGAGAAGCTGCTCCAAGCCCTTTGCCACACTGCTTAGGTCATTGTCTTGCTGCACTATAAGATGGGAATACCCCAGTTTCTGCTGTTTAGCATTTGGTGCTCATGTCTGTGGCCCGAATTCTTAACCTTTTTATTTATAAGTTCAAATATTAATAATATGAGGCATTTTATAAACTTAAAATATCTCATAGCCTTAAAAGTTTAAATGTTTTTAAGGCTGTTTCTTAAAAGATACCTGGTTTTATTAAGTTTAAATTTTCTATAAAACTGCCAAATTTCCTCTTAAAAAAGTTTAAAATTTCTCAACTCTGTGCTCTTGCAGTATCAAAACATTAAAGTGCCCCTTTTTAACTTTAAGAGGAAAGAGGCAGGGCATAGCCACAATCTGCATAAGGCAAAACCAAGCTCCAAGAGTGCAAACAAATTCAAAGTTCAGTATCTGGGATTCATTCACAATCCTTTGGACTTCCCTGAGGGGTTAGATCACCTCTTTGTTCCAGCTCTCAGCAGCATATACACAGCCTGCCCTCGAGATCCCAGTCAGCTCCATTTCATTGTGGCTGGTGCTTCTGGTGACTGTTACTTGGCACCGGCATTTCCAAAACTGCTAGGGTCCACCATTGCAACTAAGCTCTCTTTAGGAACTGTAGCCCGGACACACTGTTGCAAGCCTCAGCTGTTCCCCATGACCCCTTCATGTCTTTTAAACCGTCACCAACTGGGTGACTCTATGTTACCAAGTTTTGCTGCCAGCACAAGGTACATTCTTGCATATGAAGGCATGGAGGTGCAGCTTTATTACCTTATTAAACAAACATTATTTTTAAATCCCGTCTTTTATAAACCTTGTTTTTAGGACAGGACAGAATAGGACAAGACAAGACAGAACAGGAATTATCCAAAATTCCATCCTAATCCAAAATATCTTGGAGACCTGTTGTTACCTCCTTGGTAGGCCTGTGCCATGCGGTCACCTTTAATCAAGATGGTGGTGAAGTCACATGACATTCATCTTCCCCCAAACCTAAATATGGTAGCAGTACATGAGTTGGTTATATTCCAAAATGGAATCATGCCACATGGTTCCTTTAAGATTACCTGTGCAGGGTTGGGGATTTAGCTCAGTGGTAGAGCCCTTGCCTAGCAAGGGCAAGGCCCTGGGTTCGGTCTTCAGCTCAAAAAAAAAAATTACCTATGCATAGAGTTTTAACTCTCAACCCCCACTGCGACTAGTTTTAAGTTAACTTTTTTCATAGATTTTACAGACTTTTAGCCATATCCAATAAAACAAACATATAAATACTGAGGTATAGAATGTTCACATAAACCAAATCTAAGTTTTTGGACTGAACTGCTTTCTTTTCCCTGTCGTGGTCCAAGGTGAGTCAACTGACACAGGACATAGAGGAAACTTTTCAATAGAGAAGGAAGAGCCATAAGCCAACTCTAGCTCCAGCTTTCCAATGAAATAAAACAGCATAAAACAACTTTACTGTTATTACGCCCAAAGGACATCTGAACGCCTGATGACCTGTGAGCAGAGAGCTTGGAGATAGATTCTGAGCCCCAGCCACAGAAGCAGCCATGGTAGCTGTGGCAGATGGAGACTACTGGCAGCAGAGTCAGCAAAAATGTCTGACCTATTTCTGTCTCAGCCCTGTGCTTGCAATAAATCTTACAGACACCCAGAAAAACAGAGAGAGATAAAACTTCCCAACAAAACAGGTGGACACAACTTTCCAACAGGACAGACAAAACTTTCCCTGGGAAACAGACAAAAGTTTCCAACCAAAACCAGAACCAGGTATGTGTGTGACATCTTGCTATTTGTCCTGGATGGGAGAATGTTGGGGTCCTGTTGAAGCCCCTCCACTTCCCAGATAGGTATCCCACAAAACAGAACCAGACTGTGACTCTCCAGGAGGCCTCCTCAGATTCCTGCTGCTTTTCTCAGCGTGGGAGTTCACCCTGATAATCCACATACCAAAGGCAGACTCAGAGCCTTGGAACATCCCAAGGCACGTGCCTCCTGAAGCAGCCCCTCAGCCCCAGAGTTCCGGAGGGAAAGTCTAGCTTTAGAATTTTCGATAGATGGTCTGAATCTCTCTGGGAGGATCCAGGAAATGTTAATAATAAGATGGTCAATAATAAGATGACTACCGCAATTTAAAGCCAAATTTGAAGCAAACTTTAATTAAATAGTGGCTAGGTGCATGGACTCTGGCCAGGTCCACACCTAGGTTCCCAGGAAATGGCCCCAAGTCACGTTTGCAAGGGCTTAAGAAGGAAAACCCACAATTCATTACATTTCCCCTCAGGTCCAATCAGAGGCAACATACATCCTGACTTCCTTCCTGCCTGCATACCTCCTGCCAACATCTAATCTGGGCAAGGCTACATCCGGTCATACTTCCTGCCATGGAACCTCAGGGCATGTGGGCTCAAGCACATTAGGTACAGATGAGTCAAACAGATGTGTTTGGGGAAGTGAAAACATGTGGCTTGTTATCTCGCTAAAGAGCAGCCCTCAGAGTTTCAAGAAATACTAGTCCCTGGACAAGGGGCTTGGAGATCAGGGGCATTTTTGTTTCATGGTTCTCTTAAGGAAAATGTAAAATTAAACATGAGCTGTCTCAGCAGCAGAGACACTTCTGATCTCATGGAGAGCCTATAAGCTGGGCCTCTGCTGTTCCTATGACGGCCTCACATACGGGCCTCCATTGTTTCTTATGAGAGGCCCAGCTCCTGGGCCTCTGCTGTTCCTTATGGGAGGCCCAACTCCTGGGCCTCTTCTGTTTCTTATGGGAGGCCCAGCTCCTGGGCCTCTGCTATTTTTAATGGGAGGACCAGCTCCTCGGCCTCTGCTGTTTTTAATGGGAGGCCTAGCTCCTGGGCCTCAGCTGTTTCTTATGAGAGGCCTACCTTGTGAGCTTCTGCTGTTTCTAATGGGGCCTACTTTGTGGGCCTCCACTGTTTCTCTGGAGCTGAGAAGGAATTGGCTCTAATAGAAAAGAAAATATGAGAGGCACATGTGGATTGTGTGAATCTAGAACTGAATTGCATTCTGGTCATATTACACTCTAGACAGTCCTCCATGTGGATTTTGATGCAGGGGGAAGATATTACATTAGAATGGATATTTCTACCATACCAGAAGAGAGCTATGATTTGATTATAAAAGAAAAATTAAGACTTCATCAATTGACAGGAATGGACCCAGCAAAAATAGTACCTTTAATTAATGAGGAAATTTCCTTGTTATGGAAAGATAATGAAAACTGGCAAAGAGCCTGCAGTAATGTTTTGGGAGAGATTAACAACTGTTATCCCCAAACCAAGAGAATAGAATTCATAAAAAGAATTGAAAGGGTCCTTCCTCACATTGCATAACAAAAACCAATCTCTGGAGTCCCCACATTCTATACTGATGCAAATAAATTAGGAAAGGCAGGATATAAATCAGAAGATTTAGGTAAAGTGGTCAAAGCCCTTACAGTTCTATACAAAAGTCAGAACTGCATGCCATTCTTATGGTACTTATGGACTTCACCGAACCTCTCAATATAGTTACTGACTCTCAATATGCAGAGAGAGTTGTTTTACATATTGAAACTGCTGCATTTATTCCTAATAATACAGAATTAACTTCACTATTTATACAACTACAGGAAATCATTAGAAATAGGGAACATTTTATATATATATATATATATATATATATATATATATATATATATATATATATATATAATCACATCAGATCCCATATGGGTTTGCCAGGTCGGTCCTCTAGCACAAGTTAACAATGAGATTGATCAGTTATTAATAGGTAATGTGGTAGATGCCTCAGAATTTCATAAGAAACACCATGTAAAAGACAAAGATTTAAAAAGGGATTTTTTCATCACTTAGCAACAAGCCAAGGAAATTGTAAAAAAAAAAAAAAAAAGTCCTACTTGTTTTTTCTATAACCAAACTCCATTACCTGTAGGAAGTAATCCTAAAGGTATACAAAGAAATGAAATTTAGCAGATGGGCATGTTTCATTTTGCAGAGTTTGGAAGATTAAAATATGTACACCATACCATGATACCTGTTAAAGATTTCAATGGGCAACTCCTATGAGTTCTGAAAAAGCTGATTCTTTAATTATGCACCTATTAGAGGTTATGGCCATCATGGGAATACCTGTACAAATTAAGACTGACAATGCTCTAGCATATGTGTCAAATAAAATGAAACAGGTTTTTGCTTATTATAATATAAAGCATGTTACAGGTATACCATATAATACCACAGGCCAAGCAGTCATAGAAAGATTTAAAGGATATGCTAAATAAAGAGAAAGAGGTAACAATGACCCTGAGAAATAGATTACATAATGCTTTATTAACCTTGAATTTTTTCAGTGCTGATGAGAAAGGGACAACAGCTGCGGAGAGACATTGGACAACAGATAAGACTCCTGAGCTAAATCAACCTGTTTACTTCAAAGATATGTTGACCTCAGAATGGAAACCAAGATATGTCCTACATTGGGGAAGGGGTTTTGCTTTTGTTTCTGCAGGAGAAGAAAAGCTATGGATACCAACAAAATTAATAAAAACCTGATTCCAATAGGAGAAACCCCTTGATGAGGAGAAGTGATTGCTCATCCACCAATGTGACAATTCTATAAGTTGTATGGAAAGCTCAACTAACAAGGGTCAGGGCAGGGTTCTGGTTTTTGTCTTTACAGGATAATAGAAATAGTCATTTTTAAGAAATCATAAGGCTTTGGACACATAAATGTCTACAGCAGAAAGGAAGGACCTATTGGTACCAATATACTCTACAGAGTAATATCTCACTGCCTAATACCAACATCTCTTTAACTCTAGATTAGTTGTGATCCCAATTCAATTATAAATCAAGCTGGCTTTGGAGTTGGAATGTGGCTCTCTCCTTCTCTAAACCCAAGCATATTGCTACAAGAAAAATTAGGAGATTCTGTCTCATATCGGAAGAGACAACTGGTATGAGACAGAAGAAAACCAATAATCTAGGGACCATTGTTGTCAAGATTCTATTTCTTTCCATGCTTGTCCTCACTTTTTAGGAATTATTTCTTGATTCATGATAAATCCAAACTTTCTACTTTGATATTAATAATGTTCAAGTTTTCCACATGTAAAAAAAAAATTAAGTCTTTTCAATAGCAATCTCTGAAGTCTCCAGAAGGAAGATGGAGCCCCACAACAACAACTCTACCAGGTCCGGAATGA